TGCTCACCAAACTCTCTAATCTCTCACAAGATTTAATGCTCAATTCAGGAAGGGATGGGAAGAGGTTCAAATATGGAATAGATTGTAGACCACTACAACCTTTTATAGTCAGCAACTCCACAACAGATACGGGCCCATTGCTCACCAAACTCTCTAATCTCTCACAAGATTCAATGTTCAATTCACGGAGGGATGGGAAGAGGTTCAAATCTGGAATAAATTGTAGACTAGGGCAACTGTATACAACCAACTTTCGAAGAGATGGAAGATGACTGGGAGCCTTTCTCAATTTGGGACAATCCTCGATCTCCAGCTTCTCCAACCGAGGAAATGCCATGACTTGTTCTGGTGCTTCCATCCATTCAATTTTTTCACATCTGTTGCACTCCTTAAGCTTAATCTGCTTTAAATTGCCAAGCTTAATCATCCATGATGGAAATTTAGTACCCATGAAATATTTAATCTCTAGCCTTTCCAACTCAGAATGCGGCTGGAGGCCTTCTAGTACATCCTCTTCATTATTATTGGTTGTTGACCTGTTTTTCGTCCATTCAAATAAAAAGTGGCGTACCTTTTTCTTCTCCTCTAATTTAGCTTTACTTGCCTCATCTCCATTCCTTACGTCTTCCAAATTACAAATAATCAATTTACCCTTCAATTGATTCAAGGCAGCCAGCTCCACAATTTCCCTACCCATCACCTCATTATCCTCATAAGAATAAGGTAATTTTCGAAGGCTAGTTAATCTCCCTAATACTCCAGCTGGAAATTTCGTTTCCTTATCACAATAAACATGTCTCAAGTTGATCAAGTTTTGCACGTCTTTTGGAAATTCTTCAAGACCGCAGTATGTTGCTCTTAATGTCTGTAGGTTATACAGCTTGCCAATAGAATTTGGGAGTCTTTTGATTTCTGTACAGGAAATGTCAAGATATCTCAAGCGTTTCAGCTCTTCAATTGAACTTGGAAGCTCCTCAATATATGCCCCACATAATTTCAAGACACGTAAAGCTTTAAACCATGGCAACATGTTTCCAGGTAGTGCTTTAGCATTCGAAAACAGTGATCTCAATTTCCCACTACTTCCTTCTGGAATTCTTTCTATAATGGGAGTTGCAACATCTTCATCCTCATGGAAGTCTCGCATCATGCTTCCAGTTTCGGATACACGTTCTGCAAGATCATGTATGAGATCGTGCATCTTGCATTCAATAACAATGTCGTCATCATCCAGTTCAGCATATTGAAATAAGGATCTTTGGAATAGAATATCAAAATATTCATTACCTATATCCTCCATCTCTAGATTACTTTTTTCAGAAGGATGGAGGAATCCTTGAGCCATCCAAAGTTGAATCAAGTCATCTC